CTTCCGAATGATGTTGCATCTTTTATGTATCCCCTTTATCCGATCCAAAAGAACAACGTAGTTATTTAAATGTTGATCCTTTGTTAACTGGAGTCTGAAAAGTAGTAATTAATTAGTGTGAAATCTATATATACAATATGTATCGTTCGTTTAAGAAGAAACTGAAGGACTTTGTAGTGATGAGTGAAGCCAAAGTTTGGTTATTCTCAGACAAAACATTACTTAGAAAGACGTGATCAATTTACATGTGGTGTCTTTATTTCGTGGTGAAGAGTGAAAGTAGGGTTGGTGTTCTTGACTACTCCCCCTCGTTTTTTGCCCTTGGTTATAAGGCCGAGTAGACATATCTAAAGGCCCAATTTGTGATAAGTAGAGAGAAGGCCCGTTTTGTTTTCAAGAGCCAGAGAGCAAATGGGAGGAAAGTGAGGAAAAGGGAAGGCACATGGGAGAGAAGTGAAGGGGAAAAGAAGAGCAGGTCAGGTGCAGGTGGAGTTGGATGTGGAAGTTGCACACGTATGTCTGTCTTCTTTCGCCAGCTAACCTTTCTCTCTAATCTCATTTCATCACGTGTCCCTCTCCCTTATCACTCACACATTTTATCTATATCTTTTTTTTTGAACTATCAATCTTCTACTTCTATATATCTACCAATACAAAAACACTTGTCTTTTTTTCTTTTTTTCATCCATCTATCTATCTATCTGCAACACTTTTTTTTTACCTCTCCAAGTTATAAGGTGTCGTGGAATTCGGAGTTTTGGGTTTAATTGATAACAGAATTAGTTATTTGGTATAAATTGTAAGTTATTACAAAGATAAAGGACCGTTTGGGTAAATAAAAAGAGGAAAGAAAAGTCAATTAGAGGAGAAAAGAAGGGTTAGGTTTAGAAAATCTGATCCAGTAAGTAATTGAGAGATTGGATTGTCTGGTTAGAAGCAGTGGAGCCCTTTCCTTTCTCTCTTCTCTCTTTTCTCCTTTGCCTTCTTCCTCTCCGAGAGAAGGTCGACGCTACTTCTTCTTCTTCCTTCTTTCTTCTGGATCTGATTCGGATCCATCACTCTCTCTTTCTCTACATCAATTTGTTTTCTCAGATCTTCATCTTTTTTTCGTATACCTGTATTTGTCGACCTTTTCTCTCAATCACTAAACCCTCAAATCCTTTTTTTGGATTATAAGATTGCTTCTCTGATTGTAATTGCTTTGATGTGTATCAGTTGACTTGTGAAAAGTCTGCGAGTGACTTCTTCCTGTTTACACATCAGCTACTCCAGAATCTCTCAGGTACTAATTTTCTCAGAGTTTGAAAAAGTTTGGATTTTGATCTGATCCTTGTTGAATAAACTATTCCCTCTTGCTTATCTGATCCATTAACCAATTGGGTTTGCAGTTTTTTTAGTTTAAAGTTGGGTTTTTGATATCATTTTTGCTCAGCCAAGTCGAGAGTTTTCAGATTCTATTAAGCTTATAAAATTGTTGTTTTGTTCAGATCCTTACTTTTAATTCTGTTTTGAATTGCAGATTCTTAAAAGCTTAAATCTTTTTTCGACTTTGATTGTTTCTGTGCATCGCTTTGACGGATGTGGAGGAAAAAAGGGGTGTCTTGATGAAATGAGGGATGTTATCAACGTTAATGAAACTCTTGAGTGCTTGTCTGTGGCCGTCTTCTTCCTCGGGCAAGTCCTCTGATTCAACTGGAAAACAAGATGGATTGCTTTGGTACAAAGACTTTGGTCAGCACCTCGTTGGTGAATTCTCCATGGCTGTTGTTCAAGCCAACAACTTGCTTGAGGATCAGAGCCAAGTTGAGTCTGGGCCTTTGAGTACTCTTAACTCTGGTCCTTATGGAACTTTTATTGGAATCTATGATGGCCATGGCGGGCCTGAGACGTCGCGATTTGTTAATGATCACCTTTTTCAGCATCTAAAGAGTGAGGAAACTGAATGATATATGCATACCAGGTTACAAACCAACCGTGCGGAAACTAAAATCTTGTTTGAATTTTCAGGATTTGCTGCAGAGCAGGCCTCTATGTCGGTGGATGTAATTAAAAAGGCGTATGAGGCGACAGAAGAAGGTTTTTTAGGGGTTGTGACAAAGCAGTGGCCAACTAAGCCACAGATTGCAGCGGTTGGGTCTTGCTGCTTGGTGGGTGTTATATGCGGAGGGATGCTTTACATAGCTAATGTTGGGGATTCCCGTGCAGTTCTTGGAAGGGCTATGAAGGCGACAGGTGAGGTTATTGCCCTTCAGCTCTCTGCTGAACATAATGTGAGTATAGAGTCTGTTAGACAGGAGATGCACTCCTTGCACCCAGATGACTCGCATATTGTCATGTTAAAGCACAATGTGTGGCGTGTTAAGGGCCTTATTCAGGTATGTTTCTCAATCTGAATGATATTTAATTAGATTTTATGGTTAAATGACGGCTTTAATTCAGGTACATGAGTATCTTAGTGAATCACTCGTTGAATTGATATATAGTTGTCTTGTAAGGCAAAACCGGAGCTAATTTGAATTAAATGGCCTTGGAACTTCTTGCTGGTTTCATGAAGCCAAAATGCTAAACTTCGAATCAAAAAAGCAGTGTTTTTTTCTTACTTTTAAGATGTCAAGATCAACCAAGAAATTTGTCAATGTTTTATCTGTTTGGCGATAAGGTCTCTGCATTAAATTAGACTTTACATTCAAAAGGCTAGATTTGTCGTAACCTTGACTTTGACATTGCCAATACCAAACCCACCAACCCGAGAAAGTCAGAGCTCTGGTTGAAGTTGAAATAGGTATTATCTAAAAGCCAGTGTATGTATGTCCCTCCTACACAAAGATACAGATATTATATAATTGACTCAACAGTTGAATCCATATTTTATCCCTATCACTGCATGTAGACAGTAGACACTAGGTGCAAACGCTAGATATGTCAAGATAATCCTGGAGATTGAAATTGAAAAGGCTAAGATATGTTTGTTCCTTTGCAGATATCTAGATCCATAGGCGACGTGTATCTTAAAAAGGCAGAGTTCAACAAGGAACCATTGTACACAAAGTATAGAATCCGTGAACCGTTCAAAAGACCTATCTTGAGTGGGGAACCAACGATAACGGAGCATGAGATCCAACCACAAGATAAGTTTCTAATATTCGCTTCTGATGGACTATGGGAACAGATGAGCAACCAAGAAGCTGTTGACATCGTTCAGAACCACCCACGAAACGTGCGTTAGACCCATTTCTTCCTTTTTTTTTCACTTTCAGTAAAAACCAATTACAAAACCAAAGATTGACTCTATCCTTTGTTGTGGAAATGAATGCAGGGGATTGCACGGAGACTGGTGAAGATGGCACTGCAAGAGGCGGCAAAGAAACGAGAGATGAGATATTCTGATCTAAAGAAGATAGAGAGAGGTGTGAGGAGACATTTCCACGATGACATAACTGTGGTCATAATCTTCCTTGATACCAATCAGGTGAGCTCTGTGAAAGGACCCCCACTCTCTATCCGAGGCGGTGGTATGACATTCCCCAAGAAAATCTAAGATACTCCACTTTTAGGCTCCATCTTTTGTAGTTATATAAAAAAAAAAGTCACTGTTGTTGGTATAAGAATGTATAATTTTAACGTGAAAGCCACACAATACTGATGTTTGGAACTCATTCCAGTAATTATTAATTTTTATTTATTCAGCAAACTTTGTGTAACGATGTAATTTGTTGTTGATGATGAATGAATATGAATGTAGGCCTTCTTCTTCTGTCATGTATTTGTATTGCATTCATAATACAGAGGTGCTTGATATTGCTTTTTATTCTATATATGTGAATGAAGCCAAGAATCAGTTAATACTAAAGCTCAAGTGTGCAATATACATCACAATACCTTTGTCCTTGTTTCAGGTCTACTTTTACATCATAGAACTTGCTCCTATAGATAATACAATGCATGGTATTGACGTAAGAACTCTTAGCTTTTCATATTAGTAGCTTATAATGTTCCTTAAATGCGACATTGATATTAAGCTACTACTCAATAACTCAATGGTAACGAATCATAAGTCTGAACTATTCGAAAACAGTAATCCTGAAAAGAAAGAATGAAGCGTGTTGATAAGTAATGATATGATTTGATATTGCAAGTCAAGAAAATATAATTGGGTAGAGAAAGAAAGAGAGATAATGTGTGTTCTGCATAAAATTTATGGCAATGGTGGACCGGAGAGGTTAATGTAGTAAGAAAGCATGAGAGAAGTAAATAGGGGTTGCAAAAGTTTTTGCCATCCCACCAGTCCTAACCAGACAAAAAAGAAAGGTGTTGGTTTTAAACAAGCTCTGGTGTTACAATGTGACATTAAAACACGAATCTTTTCTCTTGAGAATCATCAATAGAGAGAGAGAGTGAGTGGTCATATTAGGGTTCATAACTTGCTTGAGGTTTTGTAAAAAGCAGAGAAAGAGAGAGAGAGGGGCCTAGAAAGAAAGAAAGAAAAGCAGTAAGAGACTATTAAATGTTGCAGGCAGGTCCAGCCAGTGTCCCCTCTCTTCTGCGAGATTCCCTCAAAATTTATTACAAAGCATCTTCATCGATGTTCTTTTAATTCTTCCTCAAAATCTTTTCTCTTTTTTTGGTTATATATATTTGAATTTTGATTTATGAACCTCCTCAAGAAGGAAAGACAGAGGAGGAGACAAAGAAGTATAGGTTCACATTGCATAGCCAGTTTAGTTTTGAAGGATGGATATATGAAAAAAATATGAAGAGAGAGAAGAGAGAAGAAGAGGAGGATTAAAGAGGGTGAGGCCAGCTTTTGTGCTTTGGTAGTAGATGAGGTTTAAATGCTCCATACCTTCCATTTCCTTCTCTCTTACCCTAATTTAATTCTTCCTCTCCTTTATAACTCCCCACAGACATTCTCACTTCTCCTCCTCACACTTCACATCAACACTTCTTTCTTGTTTTTTCATTTTACAATGTTTCCTTTGATATCCGCACTTTAAGCATGAGAGAGTCCCTTTGATATTGGCCTGGTTCACTCAGATCTTACCTGACCACACACGTAGATATTCATTATTCTCTCTAGATTATCTGATTGAGCCGCGCCAATATCTCAGTACTCTCTCGTCTCTATTTTGGACTTTGTGGTCTTGTAGATCGATTTGTATGTGTGTGTTGAAATGGAGACAAGTACTTGTAACTGCTTTGTTGTTATATTGTTTACCTATAGGCTGATGTCATAAACTCTTTTGATCTTGTTTCTAACTTCCAGATTCTTGAAAAATCAAGTCGTGTGTGTGTCTCCATGGAAGCCTTTTCCATTTCTTCCTTTCCAAGGTATCCCCTTAATCAGCTTCCTTGCCAAGTATAAATCTGTTGTAGGGTTTTGCTTCAAATAATCTATATGGATCCTTTTAGAATGCATATTGTGTTGATACCAATTTTGAGACAGAATGTGTCAGCGAAACTGATCTTGTTTATTAGTACAAATGCAGGATGTTAGAGAGTTAGCTAATAACATATACAACAAAATCACAAAACCGGTGAAGCAATGTAAAATGTCACAATCACAAGATGTTTTTTTCAAAAACAGGGGAAAAAGCAGAGTTAATGAGAGAGAAGCTGACGAGCACGAACCCTAACCTGCAAGCGAGCAAGAGCATGCATACAATGTAAAGCAATTCGTGCTTGTCTCCTCACAAGCACTCCTCTAGCCACCGCCTGTAACTTCACCAGACTCTTCAATGCTTTAAACGCTCTTCTTGCCTGCAAAACACTTTAATGGTTTTACCAATTTTGTTTTTTCAGGTTTTCAAAATCTACAGAGATAGAAAATGTAAATTACCAGGTGCCCTCTGAAAAAGGCTTGGATTTTAACGGCGGCAATCTCTTCTCGAGTTGTTTCTGGAGCTGAAGAGCGAATGATTGTGATTCTGCTTTGAGATCGTCGGAGAAGTTTCCTTCTTACAACACCAAACAAACGTTTGGAGTTGGCCATGTTTATGGGTGGATCTTGTCTTCTTTTGGTTTTGGTTTTGGTTTTAAAAGAGGACGTCTAAGGAAACGTAAAATGTGAATAAAAAGTGAAGACGGTGGCTTTAAGGGATATATGGAACATGATGTGCTCTCCTCATTTCTAACTAACGAACGTGCTCGCATGCTCCTCTCTTTACACTTGGTTTCGTTTTGTTTATTAGTAGTTTTCAAGACACACGAGTCTTTGGTCTTTTTTACATTTAGTTATTGAATTATAGTTATGTTATGCCTAACTCAATAAAAAGAAGCTTATTGAGATTTTGAAAAGGTTATTATAAAGGGTGATTGTTGCATTTCAATGCTCAAAATTACCATGTTATGATATATCTTATAATCACATGTGAAATCTACACTATTTTTAAAATTTATGATTTAGACAATTTTTTCGAAAATGTCACTCTATTTTTCAACAAGAAAATAAAATTAGGTCATTGGTATTGTGGTTTGTAATATACTAATGACCCCCACTACAATCCTACCGACAAAGCGTCCACTCTTTGTAATGAAGTTCTTTGATCATTTCTCTATTCAATCTTGACACTATGAATGTAATCGCGCAGCGGAAGAATGGTTCATCATACTCTTACACTGTTACACAGGTCCAGCCCTGAACTAAAGTGTTTGTGTTTTTGTATCGGATATGATTAGCAATTGTGCATCAAGTTAGTTACGGTCTCTTCTCAAATCCAGTAAACCAAAAAATATATTAAAAAATCATACTCTATAATAAACTTACATCATTGTTAAGAAATCAAATGTCCTTTTTTTAACGTTTATGTTGGGAGTACGTAGTGAGATTTTTCAGATATGATAAATGTTTATGTTTGAAGTTCTATTTTGAGTATCATCATTTTACACGTCTCCTATCTTTTCTTCAATCAATAAAGCCTTTGAGCCCACAACTTCGTAATACCGTTAAACCCAATTGTTATTGGGCATGAAAACAAGGCCCAACTCAAGTCTATCTCCCCCACTTGTTCATCTTCTATTGTCTTGTTGCGAGTTTGCGACTTAAACAGTAATTAAATTACTAATTACGCAATAATGGCGGATTAATCGAACCTACTCTCTCTCTCTCTCTCTCTCTCGTGCATCTCCATAAACTATCTTCAAAGATTAAATTTTGAAGATCTTCTTTTTGGCTTATTACCCGATTCTGTCACTGTCTCTTCTTCTTCTCCAATCCCAATGTTTGCTTGAGAGAAAGAGAGAGAGTCAAACCAAAACATGGGCGTTTGTTGCCCTTTCCTTCAACCCTGGGATCGAGCTCGTGATCAATGTCTCCTCAACCTCCCTTGTCTCTCCGATCCTGGTACCAATTTCCTCTCTTTTTACCCTAATCTATCTCACGATCCGGTGTTTCATTAGGTTCTTATGATTCTGTATCTAATTGCTATCTTCTTCATCTACCCAGTTCGAAGATCTTCTCTGCTTCTGAAATTGGCACTAGTAGCTCTCCACCTCGTCTTTATCGGCTTTCTCTTCCTTTTCGATGCTGAATTTATTGAGAAAACTAAACGAGATCCATGGTTATTACTCCTTATCTCTCTCTGCTTATTCAATTACTGTATCCTTGAGCTTAATGTTGATTACTCTGTGATTCTTTCTCTGATAGGTATATGGGCTGTTATATCTTACTGTTTTCTGCAACGCTTCTGCAGTATTTTGTAACTTCTGGCTCTTCACCTGGGTATATCTACCTATCTATGCCTAAATGTGTGTTTCATTTTGATTCTGAAACCTAAAAAATGGGTGCTTGACCTTCTTCCTTGTCTTTTAGGTATGTTGTTGATGCAATGAGGGATGTTTGCGAGGCTAGTGCAATGTATAGAAACCCATCTACGACCTCAATGTAAGAATTGTTCTTTCGTTCTTGTAGTGGCAAAAACTCTATGAAGTTTGATGAAAAAAGTGTGATTGACACTAGAATAGATTATAATATAGGGGAGGGATAGGAAAGTAAGAATCTTTTGATCGTTTGGTTAGTGAGAGACGCCTTTTGGATATAGGAGAGTTAGGAGAGCTCTACAACAGTTTTCCAAGGTAGTTAGGGTTCTTGATTGTAATTCAGTGATAAGAAATACAGTTTGATTACTTGATTCTTATCGAAGTGATGGAAGTGAGTTCTACGTTACTGTGTCTCACTGTTGTGTTTATACTTTTATTATTATTTAAGCGAAGACAACATGCTTCCAGAAAAAGTGAGAGCGTTGTTGTTAATGTCGAAGGAGGATCAGCCTCATGTCCCAGAAGGCCTCCAACGCCCTGGGGGAAGTTGGTTCTGGACTTGTACCCTCCAGGGACATCCATTAGGTACATATAAACTTCAATCAAGGTTTTGTATTGTGTGAATCCTGAAGAATCAGCTTATAACTTGTAATTGTTAGTAGAAAGGAGTGTTCTGAATTGTTTTGTTTATGACTTGCAGAAATTTGACATGCGGCTATTGTCATGTGGAGCAGGTAACATTTGAATCTTGTATGATTCAATTGGACACTCTAATTGTTCTTTCGGATTTCACCTTTACCTGTTTGTTCAAGTTCCCACTCTCTAAAACTTTCTCTCGAAACACGTAATGCTTTGCAGCCTCCACGAACCAAACATTGTCATGATTGTGATCGATGTGTTCTTCAGTTTGATCATCACTGTGTTTGGTTAGGAACATGTATAGGCCAGAAAAACCATAGTAAATTCTGGTAAGCCTGCAAAAGCTGAAGTCGTTCTGTTTTATTGTCCAATAACTCGGTACTGTTATGCAACAGACTTTTTCTTTTTTAGATCCCAGTAAAGAGTTTCTGTGATACCAGGTGGTACATCTGTGAAGAGACAACTCTATGCATCTGGACGCTCATCATGTACGTTGACTACCTGAGTAATGTAGCAAAACCTTGGTATGATACTTTCTTATCTCCTCATGTATTGGCCAATTTCTTCTCCGGCCCTTTAGCAGCTCCAACTTGTTAAAACACGAATTTCAAATGGAAATGTGAACAGGTGGAAGAATGCAATTATCATACTGCTGCTTGTCATATTGGCGATCTCTTTGATTTTTGTGCTGCTTCTATTGATTTTTCACAGGTTGGTGTTCACATTTTGTGTTATTTTTCACAATCTCATATCTTTTTTCTTTGTCTAACTGCTTCTGTTTCTATTTCAACTGATTTCTTGCAGCTACCTAATTTTGACAAATCAAAGCACTTATGAACTTGTGAGACGAAGACGTATTCCATACATGAGGTAATTCAATTTCTATCACCTAGTAATAATATCAGGTTTGTTTGCATGATACTAAAGCTATTGGGGTTTGCAGGAATATTCCGGGACGAGTGCATCCGTTTAGCAGAGGAATTCGGAGGAACCTATACAACGTCTGTTGCGGAAACTATAATCTAGACTCACTTCCCACAGCGTTTGAACTCGAGGATAGATCAAGACCCTACACCTGCATCGATATGTTGAAATGTCGCTGCTGCTAAGTTTTTCATTTATAGTTTTATACATGCAATTGTTTCAGTGTCCAAAAATATGTGAAGGTAACATGTTTCCTCTAAAATTTGGATGATATTGTATACATACAAGGATTCCAATTAATGAGTTATATATGCAAAGAGAGTATGTTCAATAAAGAAACTCTAGCTTGGATCATACGTCTGTACAATCTTTCGAGCGACTCCTCCAGATCTTCAACCGCTACATCTACTTTATCCAAGTTGGTGATCATAGACTTGATCCGATCCTTCTTTATCTCTTCTGCCATGCTGAATCTTCGCAGTTCTTCGTCCATCATCTGGAATTCGTTTCTGTGTCCAGTCCTAACTTGACCACTTGTACTAGTAACGTTCTTGATCACCAGTTTGGTGACCAGGGCCCATTTGGAAGGCCTGGGCTTAGGTACAGCTGTGGATAGGGACAACAAGACTGTCCTAAAGGTTTGACATGTTTGGGAACAAACTTGTTGGAGCAGTGTGATCAAGGGATGAGAGGACTCAGATGAGGATAGGCCGGTTTGTTTGAGCAACAAGAGTAGCTTAGCAATGTCCTTATGAACCGCTTTCCTAGAGCGGATAAAAGCTTTGACGTGACACCG